AAAAAAAAAAAAAAAAAATTTACTCGTACGTAGAGTTAATTTTCCCTGATCTTGACAAATTTAGCAGCTGCTGAAAAGTTAAATATTCAAAGCCCAAAAGCAAAATGGCTGGTGTAAGGCAATGTCTGTCTTGGCGGAGCTGCAGGACTGGCTTTCCTCCCACCTGAGGCTGTAGAGCACCTTCCCATCAGGCTGGACGCGCAGCATGACATTGTCAGTGGTGGTGTCGTGGATAAAGGAGCGCTTGGAGTGCACGAAGAACATGTCAGGGACCCATATCTTTTTTACCAGCCGGCCATCAAATGTCATGCTGAGATTGTTGGTGCTTGGAAAAGACAGCCTCTCATCCTTCCAGTAATGCCTCAGGTAGAGAGTCATGGTAAAATCCTGGGGTGCAGAGGGCAGAGGAAAACCAGAGTGGGTCAGGGGAAGATTCTACCAGGAAAAGCCATCACCTGCCTGGGAAACTGAGCCCATCAAGGCCTTGCTTCTGGATCCTAGGTTTGCTGAAAGAGGAAGAAGTCTGTAAAGCAGAGAGGTTCAGCCAGAAGCCTGCACTGAGAATGTCCGGAACTCCATACCACCCTGGCATTGGCCTCTATACTGGGGAAGCTGTTGCTGCCCACATCTGACATTCAAGCTGCAAGTATATGAGAGTTCATGCACTTGAGCCACCCTCAACCAGAGAAGGTAGTGGGTTAATGCTCCAGCTCTCTATAACCCTGAGCTCTCTTCTTTGCTCATTCCTGGAGTCTCAGTCAGACTGAGTGCTAAAGAAATGGCTGGATTGAGAGCACAGCCCTGCTTGCTTCTTTCCCTTCCTTGTCACTTCCTGGCTCTGTTTTGATGTACCCTGGGGTCACCTTCCCAATAAACTGTTATGCTGCAATGCTTGTCTCAAGTCTGCTTGTTGGGGGACCAAAACCAAGATAATGTCCTAAAAAGTCCTAGGACTTAAGTGTAAAATATTCCATGTTTTATTTGACCCACCAAAAGGGGGAAAAGGCAGGTACTCTGCTTTTGCATTTCCATAGACTCACATAGAATCAGCAGTTATAAACTCTACCTGGCTATTCGGTGGCCCAATCTTAGACCATGCTATTTACATCTGAGAGTTCTTGCCCAGAACATGCATCCTGATAGCAAAGTCCTGGACACTGGAAAGGGAGAGGTCAAGTTTGTCACCAGGCCCTCTCCCCTTCCAAGATGGTAGCTTTGGGCAAGTGTCATAACCTGGTTGGGCCATCTGTAAAATGAATGTGGGAATTCCCACCTCCCAGGGGAATTATGGGACCAAGTGGATTCAAGTGCATGGAGGTCCTAGCCAGGGACAGCCCCATGTGTATCTCCCTGTCCACAGCTCTTGTCAGAGAGGCACTTACCATGTCGACCTCAGAGATGCTGTCCAAGCTCTCCACTTGCACGTCCACACCAACAGGAATGGCTGGGCCTGTGGACAGGGCATGACAAGAATACTCATTCCTTTCACTTGAACTTTCAACCATGCAAAACATAGGCAAAAAAGTGTTTAACTTTGAACCTCAGCGTCATGGCAGATTTGAAGGTTTGGTTGTGCCAACCTGAAGTTAAACCAGAGATAAGAGTGAACTCATGGGCTGGCTCCTTGGCATATCCCAGGCCCTTTCTGTACCCCTCCCAAAGTGTTTTGGACTCAATCATCCAGATGATTCTAAAACTATGAGGTTAATATATAGCATTCAACTTTTGTTTCCTATACTAATCTAAAACTGTGATAAAGACCTAGGTAAAGGCTGGGTCTGATCTAAGGATTTATTCCTTAATGTGATTCCTTAACATGACCCATTTTACTTTCTGTATTTACTTCCTGTCTGGCACCCTCTTTCATCATGGAAGCCAGTGGCTCCTTCCTGGCTATTAGGCATTGCTTGGTAACAGTACCCAGAACTGATATCATACTCATATTCAAATCATTTATCAAACACAGATCTGCGGCCTTGCTACATAATAGGTCAGCTGATATTATATTTGGTATAATCTGATGCTATATTTGGTGTTATTTTGATGCTATAAAAACTTATGGATAAGGAATAAGAAAGCTTAATAAAGTAAATAGACTCAGCCCCTTTCCTCTGCTTTCAGGATGTGGGTCAGGCATAGAGCACACTTGAGTCATCATGGGATGGAAAAGGGGGATAGAGCCAACAATAGCAGATAATGGAGTAGAGGTCCTTTTCCAGAACCTATTTGTCCTTTGGGCAAAGGTGATTGGAGGAAATAAAAGCATGAAAATTATTTCTAAAGCAAAAATTTGTCTCCAGGGGAAAAAAAAAAAAAAAGCCCATAAGGAGGAAAACCCTCTGACACTAAGCGGCCAGAAACCCAGAAGCTGCAGGCTAAGCTTCAAAGGGCTTTGGCATTTTTCTGCACTGAATCATTATTTTCTCAAGCTATTTTCATTTAATTAAACTCAGCAGACCACACTGTACCCTCTATACAGAGCTCATCTGCCAGCTTCCAGATGAGAGCAAATTTAGTCCAAGGTTGTTGGAGGAAATTTTCAGGAGGCAGCTTTGTGCTGCAGCTGCCCTTTCTTCCCAAAGCCAGCTGTTGTTCTCGCTGATTCTGAGCTGTTCTTAGCAGCAGTGGCCAAGGGGCAGCTGGCTGGCCTAGTCTAGTTGCCCACTGGCAGGTGCTCCCAAGAATGCGGTCAGCAGAGCCAGATCCAGGAGGATGGACACTCAGAAAATGCTGTGGGCTTGGTGCTTTAACCATCATGTACACCTGAAGCGGATCTGATCCAGAGAGAGCAGAACCAGGTAACTCCTGGGCTTGATTTCCTGCTCATGGAGCCCAAGAAGTACCCTAAGAAAGAAGACACCCCCACCAGGTGTACGCTTCTTACCTCCAAAGCCAGGCCGCATGCTGAAGTCATGGTCATCTATCCTCAGCAGCTGCTCTGACTTTGTCAGTGGTGATTTGGTGATGTCAGGGCTCCGCTTCAGAATTGGGCTACCAAGGGCCAGGGGAGGAACAGCTTGATTACATATTCGAACCAAGGCAGATAGAAAACATTTGCATTCTGACGATCCTGAGAGGTTTGACAGGATGTGCTATTTCTTCCTTCAGATACTCTACAGTCCCTGTTCCTTTTTCCAGCTTCCTGGATAAATAAACTGGCCCAGAAAGTCCAACACAGTGATTCTTAACCACAGTGGAGGAATTTTTTAAATAAAGATATCCAGACCCTCCCTACCTCAGAGATTCTGAATTGAGTGGTCAGGGAACCGGGCCTAGAAACTGGTATTTTTTAAAAGCTTCCCAAGGTTGGGAGTACAGCTCAGTGGTAGAACACTTGCCTAGCATGTGCAGAGCTGTGGTTCTGATTCTCAGCACCACTGGGCTCATGGGCTGAAGTCTCCCCAGATGCTTTGAATGGGTAACCAAGACTGACAGCTGATTCTCCTGGTTTTATTAATGAACCTGAACTCCTCCAAAGGGCCTCAGCCATTTCTGGGGAGGTGGGTTGAAGAGGAAGCCAGAGGGCTGGGCCTGGGTGCCCTTGAGCTCTTTGGACCACTCTGTGGAGGGAGGGTGGACTCACTGTCAAGTCAACTGCCCCATCTCTGTGGGAGGCAGCCTCGGAGTTGTGTTCTTTCACCTTTTCTAAATGGGTAATATATTTATAGGGTTTTATAATTTGTAATAACATGCAGTCAAAAGTAAGTCTTCCCCTTCTACCTACTTCCTCTGCCTGTGTCCCACCCCTGACCCCATCCCCAGGTTCCTCTCTTACTGGTGTCTAGGTTATGTGTTTAGAGTTTCTTTTTAATTTTATTAGTACATTTGCTGTATATAATCAAAGTTTCTTTTAGAGATAAGTAAATATAAATATATATTCTTAGTTCTCTCCTGCTTTGTACACAGTTCATATTATATAAACTCTTCCACACCTTTCCTTTATTAATATGCCTTGGGGTTTTGTTTTTGTTTTCACCTGCATAGGCTTCTGGAAAGGACACATCATAATCTGTGGCAGACAACATGAAGTCACTTGCACTATTTTGCCATTACTATACAAGCAAAACCGCAATGGCCTTGACCATGTTTCATTTACCCATCAGCACTCATCCTTGGAGCCCTCAGAGCCCTCAGAGATAATTATTTCCCTAGCTCCTCCCTGCGCTGACATCAGGCTGCGTCCTCCTCCCCAGTGCTGAGGTTCCCAAACTTGGTGTGAATGCTTTGTCAGCATCCCCTGGAGAGCTGTTAAAACCTACATTTCTAACCTCCCTGCTCCCTGCAGTGTCTGATGCAGCAGGTCCGGGCTGAGGCCCAAGAATTTGTATTACCAGCAAGGCCTCAAGGCTGCCGATGTTGCTAATCTGGAGACAGCCCTGGGAGGGGAGGGTCCCGGGGAGGGTCCCGCCCGGGGAGGTCCCGCCCGGGGAGGGTCCCGCCCACACGGCCTCCTCCTCTCTTCTGACTGGCTCAGCTCACCCTTCAGTCCCTTACCCAAAACGCCTGCTACCTGCGTTTGGGCAACTTGTTTGCTTCCTTGAAACTTGATTCTCCCAACTGATTAAAGGTAGAGCTTCGTGGCTGGATAGGGGTAGAAGGGTTAAAAGGGACAATGTGGAAGGATTTCAAACTGTAAAGTGGTTCGCAAAGGGAAGGAGTCAAGGAGCAAGCATCCTACGCAGTGAGGAAGGTGCCTGCCGGTAGCCAAGGAAGATGGGCCACCTGCTTGTGGGTGTGAGGAGGAAGGCGGAAACACCAAGGGAGGGAAACATTGCTGCCCAGATGCCTTTTCTCAGGCAGCTTGATCCAGGAGCCCCTGCCTCCTCTTTGGCTCCCTTTCTCTTGTCCCCACTATTGCTTCATGGTCCTTGCTGAAAATCACTACAGGTGTGTGGCAGACACGTCTTTAGAACGGTATGTGTACTGATGGCCCTACCTGCCTTGCTTGTGGGCATCCTCGTGTGCTTCTTGTCTCTGTCTTTGAGGCCTACTGGGAAAATAAAAAATAAAGACATCCTAGAGACAGATACTCAAACCAACAATGCACTCCTCCCCCTCCAGATTCACCTCAAATCTAACCAGAATAAAACGAAGCTTCAGCGAATTAATTTAGCATTTCAATGAGCGTTTCCCAACTACCCACAAGAATAGGGACTGGAAGAGTAATTGTTTAGAAAAGCTGATCTGACAGTGTCTGATTTAATAATCCCCTCACTGATGGACCCGGCCTGAAACTGATCCCACTTTTGCAGATGGTTAGTTCTTAAAGACTGCACATTGTAACTTAGTAAATTTTTCTCTTGGCCATTCTTGCCTTCTGGTCATGGTTTCATGATGCAAGATGAAACAGGAAGACGAAAGAGAAGCCTGAAAGTTTAGGCTTCATTCTCTCCCCTGTTTGACCCCAGGCACTAGCAACGCCTGTGTTATTCTGCCCAGGGCAGGCATGGCTGCCTGCTGTTCCTAGCGTTGACATCCGCACACCTGGTCAGTTCACTGCCCACATCTCTGTTAGTAGTCCTTTATTCCACTATTATTAGTTAAGCCTTTTGAGTGCAGTACTCTTTTCTGCTGGGACCCACTGATCCACAGGGACACATTAGAGCAGATGTGCAGGGATTATGTTATCTGTAGCAAAGTGGAGCAGAGGCAGGAGTGAGTTGTGCAGGACTGAGTCAGGAGAGGGGAAATTTAAGACTACAGGAGGGATAAGCCACTGAAAGCAGAGTCCTCTTCACTTCTAGCACCTTGCACAGAGCCGGGCCCACTGGATTATCAACACTTGTTAAGTGAAGGAAAGAAGGAATAGGCCACCTAACAGGCACCTGAAAAGAGAGATGGATGAGACTGTACCAGGAGGTCAAAGAGAAAACAAACTTGGCCCAGTCTCATCTTTTTCATCCTGGGGATTGAACCCAGGACCTCAAGTATGCTAGGTGAGGATCTACCAGTGAACTACATCCCCTCACCCGTTTATCTTGAGAGACAGTGTTGCTAGGCTGACGGGGTTGACAATAAACTTGCCTCCTGAGTATTGGCCCATTTCTGCCTTTAGCTTCCAGGGGGAATGTAACCACACTGACTAAACACTCTGAGCTGACCTTGCTGTTGCCTTTGTGAAGCTTAGATTCTAGCCTGGGAAAGACATCATTGTTAAATTTCTAAATTTGTAAATAAACAATTACAAAATAGATTAAGTGTAAAAGAGATGTAAACAACACAAAAATAATCTTTGTCGTTCTATAGAGATCCTTAGAGGGAAGGCATACTGTAACTTGCTTTTAAACTCAAGTTTCAAGATTACGGGATATTTTTTCATGTCCTTGGCATCTTTCTACCAGCCATGAGTATGATTATTAATGTCAAAATAAAGCATAACACTAAATAAATAATAGGAACAACTAACACTGCTGGAATAGTTACTATCTGCTAGGTATTATTCTAACTCATGTAACATGTATTAAACTATTCCCCCCAACACCCAGTGAAGCAGGCCTTATTATTATCCCCAATTTATATATGAGGGAACTAAGACACAGAGGTTTCAATAACTTTTAAAAGCAGTTTAGCCAGGGGCCAGACTCAGGGGCTCTGTCTCCAGGGGTTAGAAGCACAGGTGGCCACTGCATCTCATTGGGAGACTTGCCTCCCCCTGGCAGGAATTTGGGTTCAGTGCAGAAGGGCTGAGCTTGTCTGTCTTTCCCTTATGTAGAAGTTGTTAGTAGAACCTTGCAGAAAATTGATGCCAACAAGTATTTATCGAATGAGACCCTGGGAAGGTATGAAGAAAGGATAGACATGTCCTAAGTTAAGATGATACAGAGTGACATTTGAGACAGCTCTTGGCACTGATCAGAGGATGGATATTTTTTTGAACATTCAATTTTATTTTGGACAAAATGAAAGGTTCCCACCTGTGGGACTCCTTGGTATCTACTGCTTGTGAGTTCCTAGTAAGTCTGTGCGTGGGTGATGTTTTCCCACAGCTGTTTTGTGAACCCTCTTGGAGGTGGAGTGAGAGAGCTGGGGCCTGCGATGAAGGGCTGCTCCAGGGCTCATTTAGTTACCAGCAGGGCACCTGGTAAGTTCTACTTCATTTTACTGACTACGCCATCGTTGAGAAGATAGAGAAGCTAATTTTGACAAGCTAGCAAGAACTACCTAATGAAAATGGTCCTGCTCTCTTCGCATTCGTAATCGCCAGTGAAAGAAATCCTTGCATGTTATCCAAGTGACCTAATGGTCAGCCTCTCCTTCTCATCCTCCCTGTCTTTCTCACCCTGAATTCTTTACATGGGTACTTTGATTAGAAAGTACCCTCCTCCATAGAAGTGTCTTTTGGACGATCTCTCACTTTGTGGTGAGTTCAGCAGAGGAGGAACTCTATCTTATACTTCTCTTTAGTCCTTTAGCATTGTGTAGAGCTGATCTTATAGACAGACACAAAATCTGGAAGGAAAAGCACAAACCTAGCACTCTAGTCCTGAGAGCTGAGAGGACCCATAAAAATGTGTCAAAGAAGCCATTGCCTATATGAGGTGAGATTCAAGAGCCACATGAAAGACAATCCAAATTCTATAAAATCAAGAGACATGTAAAAAACAATCTCATATTTTATACAGGTGAAATCTAGCCAGCAGTCAGGAGAAGGAAATATGCTGGTTGGAGAAGATATGAGTGTTAACAATGACAATAAGGCTGAGAGTCTGCTAACAGAATCTAATGTTATTTTTATATTCCCTGTCAAAGGGAATATTCTTCAAATTGAGAAGAAAGTATAAAGCTAGTTACATCACCATGTGATGAACAGGATTAAATGAGATCATCTGACTCTCAGCCCTGATTGCACGTCTGAGGAGTTCAGATACCAAGCCACATGCCAGAGCAACTAAACCAGAGCCCCTGAAGATGGGACCCAGCCATCAAAAGTCTTCTTACCTCCTTAGATGGTTCCACTGTTTAGCCAGTGTTGAAGATTCTAACTTGTAAAAATGGGACTCAAGACTACAGACTAAGTCGAATGACATCTCACAAAATTTAAGGACCTTGCAGCATAGAAAACCTGGAAGACAAGAGGGAAGCCAGAAGACTGGAGATGGAGAGATACTTTCTTGATTTTCACCAAAGAATACTGTGCAAACAGCTGGGGTAAGACTCCGGGTTGATTCCTGGCTATATACTAGAACTTTGACTAAAAAACAAGTCAGAAACATTACTGTGTTGGATGATGTTGGTGACACTGATGTCAGAGCAAGACACCTTAAGCTGTTCACGTTCCTGGGAGGGGTCTCCAGGTTAGCAGAGCAGGGAAGTATTGCCACAGGAACTCACAGTACAACTGTCCCTCAAACACACACACACACACACACACACACACACACACACACACACCCTAAGAATGAAGGCCTGCCCAAACTTGTCTCATGTGTGCCCAGCACAGGATGGCATAAGTGAGTCTAATGAGTTTACAGTAGTCCAACTATGTGTACATTGGCTCACAAAAGCCTGGTAACAACCCTGAAGTGACAGACAACTGGCCCTGCGGTACAGAAGAAATAGCCTCAAGGATGTCAAGTGACTTACCCAAGGCCACAGAGCAAGTACATTGCCGTGCCAAGTTCCAGAGCTGGTCCTTCTTACTGCATGTAGGCAGTCTTCTTACCATTGGATCTTCAGGCTTATTGAAAAATTATTGGCGTTGGGTATAACTATTTGTTATATACACAAGCTGTACCCCAAAGGAAACCTTCAAGGACACACATCCTGGGCTCTGCCTTACCTTATGGGCACATGAATTCTAAGCTCTGATGATAAACAGATAGGGGTTAGGGAGTGGGCATTGGAAGCTGAGATTGTTTTATGTGGTGGCCAGGGAATCTTCCCTGAGAAGGTGATGAGTAGGAAAAAGGCCATGAGATGGAGTTCCCTCGATGAGGAGGCCAATGTGACTAAGCCAGTGAGAGAGCAGCTCAGAAAGCAGGCTGGGTCAGATACTCTGGGTTTGCTTCCCCACGTACGTGATAGCACAGGTGCTGGTCCCTAGTTTCTCCACCACACGTGACCCTGCTATGCCATTCTGTACACTCTGCTCTTTGAGGCAATGACCTAATGCAGCAGGAGGACAGCAGGCAGTTAGCAAGCTAGCATGCTGTTCCAAACCCCGGGTTTTCTGACTGATGGGAGACACAATAAGTTTCTTCTCTCAAGATTTATTCCTCAGCTGTGAAATGAAGGATTGGGCTTCAAGGTAGCTTAGAGAGCTTCACATCTTTCCCAAAAGTGGCAGCATAACTGAAGTGTGAGGGATGTCACAGCTAAAGTCCTACTGTCTGAAGGTAAGGCTGAAAACTCCACCGATTTCTACAAGGACCCACCAGCAGCACTGGAGCTGTGCATTTGGTTCTTATTTGTTTCATAAGGGTGTTCTCAGACTGCTTTTTAATTGCATTTCTTGGATTTTTATAGAAGCTGCACCTAAGGCTGGGGATTTAGCTCACCTGCTGCCACCTGCCTTGCAAGCACAAGGTCCCAAGTTTGATGCCAAGTACCAATAAAATAAAACAAAATTAAAAATAAAAAAATAGACTTGATCTTAGCCAAAAGGCTGAGAAGCGATAAAAATTAAAAAAACAAAAAACAAAAAAGAACTGGAGCTGCACCTTTTCATATAATGAGTATTCTGTATTTTTCATTGGGTTTAAATGGTTCATCCCTTTTCATTCCTTACTTGGGAGATTTTGGTAACTAGTAAACTGTTTTTCAAGTTACCACCTCTAGAATGTGTGACAATTCATTTTATGGGTCAACCTAGCTAGACCATGGTGCCCAGTCTTTGGTTAAACATTAGTCTAGGTATTCTGAAAGATGTGATTAATGTTTCAGTCAGTGGACTTTGAATAAAGTAGATTACCCTTCATAATGGAGGGGCCCTAATCCAATCCAATCGGTTGAAGGCCTTTAGAGAAAACAAAACTGAAGTTTACCAAAAGA